ACATGATTGGTTCTCTTTTGACTATCATCAAGTGTATATGAATCAACAGAACAAACTCCGTGATTTTAGTCCGCAAGCGAACTATACCGACCGAGCGACCGCCGCTTGTCGGCGAAGTCAGTGCCACGTTCAGCGGATAGAGGGTGTCGCGTGGTCAGCACAACGAATCCTCATGGCCGTTAATGTCGGTTTTCTAGACCGGAACCGCCATTTCCTTGAAATTGCTCCTCAAATTAGTGATTTAGTACATTGCCTGATTTACGTTCATCATCAAACGATTCCTCAACCTACGTATAATATAGTAGGTCTACAATATCATGGCAGACGAATTTTGTTAATGATGGCTGCAGCTGTAATGTATACATTAAGTACTGGACTCTGTTCCGATGACAGTGGCCATGTGGTCTAATGGGATGAACCCTCTTCGCTCACTCGAACGTTGGGATCGTAGATTTGAAACCCACTCAAGGCATGGATGTCTGTGTGCATTTATTCTGTGTTTGTGTTGTCCCAATGGGCTGATCCCTCGCCCAATGAGTCCTACCATCTGTGTAAAAAAGAATATGAAACGGAAGAAGAGACCAGGGCCCAACAAAAGGGCTGTAGAGCCATTGATGAATGAATGAATGAAAAATGGACTATGCTGAACATATCTTTTTACATGGTCATGTCACAAGTCTGAAAGATTCTTGTTATGAATCACAAATAATAATGGGAATTCTGTGTTTGATGGGGCTCAGACCTACAAATAGGAAAGAAACCCATACTTGAGCTATCTTCACTTGAATTTCGATTATATAACACATGTGTCTCATTACATACCTCATTAGAATATAATTTCACAGAGCATTCAAGGCCAAACATAATGTTGTATTCTTATGTGACACTCAAGAATTTGAAACACCTTACTTTCTACACATCAGTTTATGTTCATTTTTAGGTCCTAGAAATTCTCACTCTACACAAATATCTTGACATTACATGAAGTATATTATGGATTTCCTTGTTCTCGCCTGCTCTTTGACTGACTAAATAATGAATTTAACCCCATGAAGAAGAACCCTTCTTGAGAACCTGTTGCTTTCCTAGGTGGTCAGAAGAATTTTATCGAACGTGACAGTCCATTACCACGTTCAAAAGAACCTCACTTTGGGTCCTATCCTAAGCCCGTTCAATGAAGCCCATAGTCCTTCGCACTATCTCTGTAAATTTCGTTTTGTCTATTATTCTTTATCTATACCCAGGCCTCCCAACCGATCCCATCCCTTCAGGTTTCCAAACTAAATTTTTTAATAGATTTCTCAAACCTCTCATGAATGTCACATGTCTTGACTGTCCCATTCTTCTGGTTTCTGTTTCGTCATGCAGTTTTCCCCATTCAACTCTTACACTTTTTAGTTCCAAATATTCTCTTAAGCTTCCTTATTCTATATTCATCCCTCAGGGTGAGACACCAAGTTTCAAATCCATAAAATTATTTGGGCTTTGTATATCATAATAGGTAGTTTTTTATATGAAACAGGAAGATGACAGATTTTGAAATGAATGGTACTGAATGGTAGCAATCATTCTCTGGATTTAGTCACATCTTATCATTGCTGTCATTATGCTACTGATTTGTTACACTCTTTCGAAATGCTTGAACTTCACTATATTTTGAAAGAATTTTTATCTACTCTTATCCTTCCGGCCGCACTAGGCCCTGGGGTTTACCCAGCCTCTAACAGAAATGAGTACTAGAAATTAATTAAATAATTTTCCTGGGGAGTGAAGCGCGGCCGGCGCGTAAGGCTGACAACTTTACCGCCATCTTTGAGCCGACTGTCTAGATAATGTGGAACCCTTAACTTCTCACAACCTTATGGGCCTTCACGGCCTGTTACAGGGATAGCTTTACTTTACTTTTATGATTTTTTCTGCCTTTCAGTAATGAGATGTGAGCAGACTTAATTTTCTGTATATTTATTTCTAGGCTAGTCTCCTAATTTGTGTCTAATAGTGCAGCTTTATTTTCTTTAGAGTACTGATTGTTTTATCCGCCAAATTATGGAATGGAAATTCTTTTTCATACCTTTATATCCATACATAAATTTGTAATTCACTTCATCTTCCACTCAAACTTATTAAATGTTGTTTCTCAGGTACCCGATTTTATTTACTTGTATTATCTCTATTTATTTTGCTCAAGATTTTCAGTGTAGTATGTTTCTTTTGACTTGAGAATCCTTGTAGGATTATCAGGTTCTCACAGTGGTGGTTATGAAGTGTTCAGTCTTCTGGGATGTAATGCCATGTACTCTGCTGAAAGTCAACCCATATAGCATTGCATCCTAGATGACAGAACTCATCTAAGCACTCTTACTAAGCAAATAAGAAATGTGTCATTAAATTTCTGATATTAGAACCAAGAGATCCAACATTATTAGTACAGGATCTGACATAATTTATTTTACCATATAATATTTTAATAAATTATATTTTATATTACCCTCCCATCTGTGAATTTTTCTTCCAAATCAGCTCTGTTCATGATGTTTAGCAATGTAATTTATATTTGCTTTTGTTTCATATGATGTTAGTGTGTATGTCTTTATGTTGTCATTATGATACAGACAGAATGTGGGGACACCTGACACAAAGTCAGGAATACTTTGACAGGTATTTCAAATATCAACATGGAACTGTCAAGCTATGAGGAACTTTCATTGCATGTGAGAGTAAATGTGACTGGAAGGGATAGTTTTAATTCTCTAAAACTTGAAACTGCACTTAAAGAATGTTTAAAAGTTCAGGTCCCTCTACATAAAAATTGTAATGAATCTCTATGGCCAAGATCAACCAGTTAATTGTATTTAGAAAAGCTGCCTCTTTTTTAAAACTGAGAATATGAAATACACTGTGTGGCTGAAATGCATGAGAACTTTAATGCTAAATAAAGTGATATGTACATTAACTGTGCGTTAAAGAAAAAAATTATGAGAACCATCTAATAATGACACTCTCATAAGAGAATAGAAAGGAAAATGAAGATAAGGGTGGAAGGCAGTGATTCATTTTGTAAGGTATTATGCCATCGTTTATCTGAGACTGAAGAAACTCATGAGGAAGAATGCACTATATCCTAGTTTTGACTTAGGAAATGCTTGAAGCAAACTACATACATTATTACAAAGACAAAACAACTCCATCCAGTGTGACTATTGAAGTTTTTACTACTTGAAAACTTAACACCCTTGCATGTTTCGGTCCCTATAGACCATCATCAGAGGGACATCAATACTTTTTGGAAACTACTATCACAATGGGTGTTTTGAGTGTTAAAATACACACACACACACACACACACATATATATATATATATACACAATATTTGTAATGCACTGTATATACAAAATCCAACTTTTCCGCAACTACAGCAGCTTTCTTGGTATATTAAAGTTTTTAAAACTTTGTTATTGTTACGTCGTGGTGGGGTGGGGCGTGAAGGTATCCCCACCGCTTCCACCACTATTATGCCCTTAGTCCTTTCGACAGGGGTGGATTGGTAATCCCCACTGTCACCATCTCTCTTGCAGTCACAGGGGTAGGACTAAGGAAACGTCTGAATAGCTTTCTCTATCGTTGCTTCGTGGCTAGGGGCTCACTGTTCACCGGGCTTGTCAGGAGGGCGCAGGTGCCAATTGTGGAAAGGGAGAAAATCACCACAAAAACCCACACCCTCACCCTATGCTACACTATATTAGTAAAACACAATCATTATACAGTTATATACATTTGGAATTCTCACACTGAAAGGGCCGACTGGTGTCGGGTTACACATTACACTTGGCTACCTCGCATCACTCGGTTGATCATTCTTACGCCCTGTACACTTTTTCTAACGTTCCTAACTCTAGTCCCATTGGAGGAGTTACACTTTAATAATATTACAATTATTGCGCATGGCGATAAGAGTAGTTTCCACTTACTTTGCGTTGAGTCTGCAGACGGATGGCGTTGCCGGGAGTCGAGTCGGTGTCCATTTGGACAGAGCCTACGGCCGCAAATGGCCAAAATTACTGTTAGAATAATCCCCTTCTTAATTTGGTCTCTGGGTTATATACCCCTATGTATGCTTACTCATTATTTTCCCGGAGGGTGTAAGTCCGCCTCCAGTGACGTCTTATCCCAAGGTGGGTGATCTCGTTGGCTGGGATCCTAAGGGGACACACCCCCTTCTACTGCTAAACCGTTTGGTTGNATCGTCCTGTGTTTGTTCGTGGCATGCTGTGTTGATTTTACTGTTCTAGAGTGTGCTGCTCCATGTAATTTATACTTACTGTGTCTGTGATGTTGATGTGGGTGGGTTCTGATGTTGTATTATGAGGTCGAACATGTTACGTTGGCTATTACTTTCTTTTGTGTGTCTTGTTCTTCTATCAATTTATTGAGTTTATTAAAGCGGTATATATGGAAGTACTCTTCTATATTCATGATGCCTTCTTTTTTGGCTTTCTCAATCATTTCCATGATTACTGTCATCGGTCCGTACTGATGGCGTTTATTTAGTATGTGTTGTCTTTGTAATTTGTTAGTGTGATGGACCAGAATGAAACAAATCAAATACATACATTATACTTTATGACATTATTTTATACTTTCAAAAGAACTGGCCCTTTCCACATGCAGCATGGATGGAATTCTGTATTGTATCTTGGTGTATATGCATTATTCTTTTTACTTAGACCACTGAATACGATGTTCCAGAGTGCAACATCTCAGAGCAAACATGCTGCCCGGTTCTTAAGATTGGCAATGGCATCCATTATGGATATTCTTAAGATTAAACCATTTGTGGAGGTGACAGTTCAGCAGCTGCTCTGGGGGTATGAAGATCCTCTGCTGAAGCTTGCCAAGGAAGTAGTGCCCAAGGAACAAAAGCTCCCATATGAAGAATTTGGCCTGATGTATGGGGTAAGTGATCATTTTGCATGAGTGAAAACTTGGTCTCAGAAGCAGGTGTTAACTGAAGAAGGACCTTAGAAGGGTCTATTAAGATTGTTGACTATGACTGGACAGAGGTGGTAACAAATTTGCCTCAGTTCACACCATGAAGATATTCAGAATGTGCACAAGTAAAGCTGAACTCATTCGAGACTTCATCATTAGATGGGAGTAGGTAATGAATTTCATGCTCCAGCTGCATTGCAATACTTCTATGGAAGGATTGCTGACATCTGTTGGGTAAAAGGTAGGTGATGACTCATTCTGTAAGTGGTGGTATCCTGAGAGAGACATCTCACTTTTTGTGCTGGGCTTGAAACTTTTTTCTCCAGGCCATAGCAATAGACTTCTCTGACTGTGATGTCATGAAGCTAATATAGGGTTCATATCATGGAATATAACTGCAAATAAATGGTAATATAACAGAATTGCATTGTGGGAAGCGAAAAAAGAGATTATGTCAGTACTTATAGAGTGGAATACACAGTCTCTAACCACACTTTTACTACCTGAATAGTTTGGAGGTGTAAAATACTGTTGTAATTGGTGTTATTACCAATCCCTTTACGACAAAAAGTAATTATAAAAATGAAATTGTTTCTGAGGAGACAAACACTTAAGTAAACAACATAGTTAATTATTTAATATCTCAAAACCTACAACATCTTTGTCACCTCCTTCCCAATTATGTCTTAAATTCTCGTATGCATTTGTTCCAGTTGTGAGAGAAGACAAAACCTGTAAGTATTTTAAAATTGGCAATATTTAGAATATTTGACTCTTAAGAGATATCACATGGACTGCTGACAGAGAGGAAATTACGTTATTATAGATAACTAATAAATGAGTGAAATTATTGATGATAATCATCGTTATCATCATATAAATTGAAGAAGTATAGTAAGACATAATTCTAGTTATAAGTTATAAGTTATAAGCTATTTTGTGAAATGAATTTGAAACCTTCATAATAATTTGTGTACTTGTATATTGTTTATTTATTTGTAGAAAAACAGTACATCTGGAGACAATGTCACTGTGTTCACTGGAGGCAATGATATCAGACAATTTGGCTTGATAGACAAGTTCAATGGACATACACATTTGATTCACTGGAAGACAGAGAAATGCAACAGACTGAATGGCAGTGATGGTTCGATCTTCCCCCCACGCATCACACATGACACCACCCTCTATGTGTACGACAAGGATCTCTGTCGTCTGCTTCCCCTCAGGTATGTCTTTCAACGTCATGTATTTTGTTTTGCTTGACTTCAAGAAACTTGAATCATCAGTTCTTTTGGTATCACTCAAAGTAACAGTATTACAAAAGTGTCAGGTTCAAACCTGAATGTTGAAACCATCTATCCCAACTAGAGTTTCTCTGTGTTCTTCTCAGTCCTTCCAAAGTATATACTCAACTGAAACCTTTAAAACACTGTACAGCCACTTTCTCAAATATCTTATTATTCATCTTTCACATCGCTGTCATTCAGTGTTTATATTTCTGCAGTTGATGAAGAATCAAACTGAAAATAATCTTTAACCTTCCCAGTATTAGGTCCAGTTGGACCTAATATTTACACCCCAAAAATGATGCTCTTTTCTTTTCAAACGCCATTCCAGACATTTTCTTCAGCTAACTTGACTTTTTTTAAATATAACGTAGCCTGTTTCTTCATCACATTCCTCTTGTTTCCTTTAAAGCATATTATTTCATAGAATCTGTTACTGGTAAATTTATAATTACTCGTACGTTATTATTTCTTCATTTCTTCTATTAAGTACACTTCTTAATTGTGTTCATACGTTTTACATATCTTCATTGTTAACTTTGTCAGTATTAAATATGGATATTGATATGGATTTATGTGTATCTCCCTTAAGATTTTTTAAAGAAAACTAAAAATTAGTCATGGGAGGGTGAAAATTCATAGACCAATTATTTCCAGATTTTCTTTTAGACTGGATGGTTGGTTTTAAATTCTCTGAAGTACCCATAGTTTCGAGGCTGGACCTTCAAGAACCTAATTTTTCCATTTGAAAATAGGTCACAGTGTTTCATAAAAGATATTTTTCTTTTAATATCTGAGATGCGACACCCTAGAAATTTGCTAACATTTCAGAGGAATTTACTCCCTCCATCTTCAGTGTTACAGAGTAAACTTAGCAAGCAATAAACAAGCAGCGGTTTGCTGTAGCAAGTAGTGGTTTGCAGTAGCAACCTAGCAACCAGGGTATAATGAAATGTATTAAATGAATGAAGTATACTTTATTCTAAGATATGAAACCATGTAGTTTGGTAGAAAGTTAGGAACATTTTGGAGAAAACTGTTCATTCCAACTGAATGATAAAAGAGTGATACCAATGTTTGGAGGAACCTGCTGCTTTCATCATTAGATTACCTTGATTTGATTCCTCGAAACGTTTGTAACATTCTGCCAAACTGTATGGCGTCATATCACAAAAGAGACTGATCTTCATATTTGCTGATATATAAACTTGGACTCCCACATTTAAGACATATGTTCACCGACACAAAATTTTATGCACATTTTATTAAAACACATTTTTATTAATTTCTAGCCTTCTTATAATACCAGATTCCATTAAAATATAAAATATTATTCTCCTGAATAACAATCGTCTTTAAATCTAATGTAAAAAAAAAGTAATGCTATCCCTGTAACAGGCCGGTTGAGGGTCCCACATTATCTAGACAATTGGCTTAAAGATGGCGGTAAGGTTGTCAGCCTTACGCGCCGGCTGTGCTTTACTCCCCAGGAAAATTATTTAATTAATTTAATTAAATCCTGGTACTAATTGCTGTTAGAGGCTGATTCGACCCCATGGCCATAGTGCGGCTGGAAGGATTAGGTCAATTGAAAAAATCCAGTGACCTTATCGGGATTTGAACCCGCGACCTTCCGGCTTTTAGCATAGTGCCTCAACCAACTATGCTATATGTAGGTTATGTAATTATATCACTATATTGCCTGTAATATTGCCAAATAGAAAATATCTGATCAATAGTTGGTCTGTTCATATCATTACCGACATTTGATAACTGATTGACTCACATGAAAATCGACAGACAGACACAGATAGACATGCAAACTGACTGACTGACCGACTGACCTACTGTCTGACTGACCAATTATTTGTTTTTAATTATAGAACCAAAATTATACCAATGTACATTCTCCGAAACCAGTTAAACACAATTGCTATTCTCACAACCAATCTGCAATCTTTTTCATTTCATGTTCCAGCAGTTTTCCTGACGAACATTCTAAATTAATTTCTTGCTTCCCTCATCTGTGCTACATGTACAGCCCATTACGAACTTGGATTTATTACAGATGTATTATATAAATCTACACAGTGTGAAAAATTACTCAAATTGTTTTCTAGGAGTGAATTCTCATGCTGAAGAAGCATCATCATTGTATGTGTTTTTATGCCTTGGAATATAATTTTGACACAAATCTGAGCACGTAATTCTTGCTCTGAGGCAGGTTCCTACGTGAAGTAGATACTGCTGGTGGAGTGAAGGGCTACAGATTCACTCCTCCAAAAGATGTATTTGCAGATGTGACAAAGAACCCAGAAAATGACTGCTTCTGTCCAGCAGGTCCACCCTGCTCCCCCAATGGGCTTTTCAACATCAGTCTTTGTCAGTTTGGTATGTACAATTATTTATTATGTGACAAAAATGCAGCACAAGTTCAATTATGCAGGTTCCCTTGTTGGGTAGGTATCTGATATAACTCTCAGCTTACTCACTAGTTATTGTGACTGAAAATATTGGCTTTTCCTGTTCTGATTAGGATATCTGATGCTTCCTGCATCCACCAGGATTTTGCTCAGTTTATGTATTGTAATTACCTAATATGTCTATCCATTAATTTCTCTGTCATCTTCAAAAGAATAGATGAAAGGATGGTTGAGCAATATTCTTTAGCATCAATGTAGTCGAATTTCCCGTGCTTTGGAATATATGCCACTCTAACCTGCCTACAGGCCATAGGAGTTAGTCAACATGCCAGGCAGGCTCTAAATATGCAGCAGAGTTGTGGAATTGAATTCTAGTAAAGGTAAAGTTATCCCTGTGGTTAAATAAGCACCATGCCATGAAGGCATATGGGAGAGTGGATATAGTGATCCACATTCTCTTGACCTCTGTACTAGTCTGAGGTGAGTGGTCAGTTTCACGCTCCGGTCAGTTTACCCCTGGGGAAGAGCGCCCAATACCTATTGTGTAGGAGGTTGGGGGGACCCCAGAGTCGGTCTGGACAACATGGATGACAGTTTTGATCAGTGTATCCACCACTTCACTCACAATTCTCTTGCATCCAGTGATTCACCATGTGACATACAGTTTGTCTACATAGCTTCTGGTGCTGATCGTTTAATTAATGTATGCAGTCCTTTATTCAACAATTTTGAAGCATTTTTGCTGTTACTTTTCTTTCTATAGTCTTGCAGGAAACATGTCTTCAGAAATTGTATCACTCAACACATCGCACGTAATCTATCAAGTGATCAATATTACTACAATCAATCGCTTCATTAATTTGTGCTGAAAATGTTTGTTCCTCTTAATATAACATAATGGTACATACAGTTATATTGTTGTTTACTTCCTGAAACTGCTGATGGTCCGAGTTTGAATCCTGTAGTACTCTGGGATAAATAAGCTACGTCAACATAGCAAAGGATTTTAGCAGTGCTTCTACATATTTCGTTTAAAGTGGTTTTTCTTACAAATAACATGCCCTCACTTAGAAAGTCACTCCCCCCTCCAGAGAGGCTCCCACCGCAATTTGGGAACTTATGGTCTACTGTCGTTCCAGGTTTTGAGAGGTTGAAATTATACATTCATATTTTGAAAGGGAGAGTGACTGTTTAAAAGACTGGTAGTTGATACAAAATTCAAATGACACAAAATATTACAATATTTATTTAGAACGTTTCCTGATGTGGTACTATATATTTGTAGTGAAATGGAAGGAACTATTAAATTATAACTCTGGGCACAGCAGTATTTCCAGTGCACAGAGTAGCAAATTTATAAGGCAATAAAATATAAGTGATGAGACATGAAAAGTACTTCAGATTAGAGTATATTTTTACCCTCATTTAAACATACCAGGAGTATGTTTACATATGATACCACATGATATTATATCACCGAAGAAAAATTGTTCATACCAGCGGTACTTAACATTTTGTGATCAGTTTATAATTATAAGATTGATACTTTTTTTTATAGACTCACCAATAATGTTGTCTTTCCCACACTTCTACCTTGCTGACCCAAAGCTGCGAGAAGCTGTGGAGGGCATCAGCCCACCTGATCCAGAGAAGCACCAGCTATTTATTGATGTTCAACCTGTGAGTTGTATATTGTTGTTATACTGTTCCATATAAGGCATCAGCTTCAATAGTATTTCATTAATCTACAGAAGGTGGATAAGTTAATGATTTGTGTCTCATTTTAACAGACTGAAATTTTGTAGCATATGCCCTACCTCTATACCAGAAGTGAATATGTGTAAGTTGACAAATAAAATTTCTGCGTTCTACCCACAGAATGTATTTGTGTGTTTGTTTATGGTTCTGGCAATACACTGCAATACTTTTTCCAAACAACATTAACAAGGTGATCTCTGTAGCAGATATGTTTCCTCTTAGGTACAAATTTAATTTTTATATACTAGCTGTACCCTACATAACATACACCATTCTAGTAGATCTTAAAAGTAATTAATTAAATATCAATGCATGCTACTTATTTATTCATATACTTAATTAAATTTGATGCATTATCTTATATGAGTCAGCAAATATAATTTACCTCTTGCAGCTTCTCATCTAACTGTTGAATTAGTTTTGACATATACCATTGGTCCGAGGGGTTTTCAAGCCATTTTACTGTTGCTTCAGCAGAATAAAGAATATGAAGTTGTCCACATTCTGTCTTATTTGGATCTATTGTATAGAGGAGATAGTGGTGTGACCAAACCATAAATATGGCCATGTATCTGGAAACAGAACGGAACATTTTCAGGTGGCCATTTAACATTGATCCATTGTACCTTCATGTATGTTCTCTGTAGTTATTTTCTCCATGTGATCACATGTAAGCAGTTCACATAATAGAGACATCTAATGGTGCCTCTGTAGACATTCCCATTAACATTTTCCAAATGATATGCAGTGGAAAAATACCTAAACTATATATATAGACACACACAAATTGCACAAAACTAAGTATGAACATCTTGCCACAGAGGATTTCTCCCATCCCACTACTTCCTGGTGTCTACAATAACAGGATGGCAGCATGAGATTTTGTGTCATAGGAACATCATAATCTTCATTCTCCTAGGAAACTTGAACTTTAAATAGGACAAAATTTTCTATCTGAGCACATACTCTTATTCCTTTCATGCAGCTCTCTACACTTCAGTTTAACATTGTATTATTTGTATGTAAGAATGTTCAAAATGACACTTTACAGTGAATTATACTTGTTTATAATGTTTCTGTTTCAGCAAATGGGTGTAGCACTGGGAGCTCGAGCAAGAATTCAGCTCAACTTGGCTGTGAGTCAGGTAGTGGACATAAAACAGGTGGCCACCTTCCCTGACATTGTGTTCCCCATTATGTGGTTTGAAGATGTAAGTATTCACAGATACTGAAATTAACATTTTGCCACAACATTAAACCTGCAACTTCCATAAAAGTTGAGAAATTTCTTGACTGTGACTGTTAGTTTCTCCAGAAGGACTCTGATCCTTTTAGTTAGTATACTGTTATCATCAGACTAGTAAATTCAACTGCAATGCATTCACTGAATTTTAGAAGTACCATGGGCATCCTCAGGCAACCAGATATTTTGTTTTCAAATTTACATCTATGCCTCTTCCTACTGTTTCTACTGCTTGCCTTATAATATTAAGGATACAAAGAAAGTTTTAAGCTCTTCTAATTGATTTGCTAATATGGTGGTTGGTATATTTAATTCTTTTCCTCAATTTTGTATTTTTCCAATAGTCTTGGGGGGGGGGGGCTGCAATTTCTCTTGAGCCCGCCCTGCCAGTGCCTATGACTTGGACCATCTGTTAAGGGCAGCAGAGGATATCTGTGTAACTTTGTTATATTTTGGGCTTAACAAATATTCTGGGCATAGAAATACTGTTCAAGAGAACCGCTTGAAAATATTAATAAAGAGGAGAGGAATATGACTGTTTCAACACAAACATATTGAAGAAAAGCAGTGGCACACACACAGAGAGCCTGCACAAAATAACAAGCAATGTGTGCTGAAAGCAAGAGGTAGCCACTGCAGCACATATGTATAAACATAGAGCAGGTATCTCTGTGATCTTGATTTTAAATTTAAATTTAAATTTAAATTTTAAATACTAAAGCTAAATTGAGAATTTCAAATTTTAAACCAATCGACGAGTCAATATTAATACAGATTTTAAACATAATTTACAAAACCGACAAGGGGAGTTCTGGAATATCGGGTGCCGATTGATAACAGAACAATGAACAATTGGAAATCTGGAGTTTAAATGTTAATATTGAGTGCAGTGTGACAGCTACGTGAAGTGAAATATGCCTGATGATGGCCGGTGGCGGACGAAACATGTAGTGTGAAAGAAGGGGCACAAGAAGTACAATAAAGTGTTGCATTTACAATGGAGTTTATATTATACATAGGTAAGCTGAAAAGTAATGCACACATGCTTGTAGAGCGCGAACGAAATGACCTTCAGAAGCGCGCCAGGTGGCATGTGGAAGTAACATTCCCCCTCAATACGCATGCGCAGGTTTGAGGTCGTTGCGTTCATCCAGTGTATTTCGAGAAGCGGAAGTATGGAGACGTGTTCTAGTGCTATGTCAACGCGAGTTAAACAGCGTGCTGTTATCGAATTTTTAACTGCTGAAAAAGTGACTCCTACTGAGATTCATCGTCGTTTAAAGGCTGTTAATGGTGACGATGCTGTTGATAGGTCTACTGTAAATCGATGGGTAATAAAATTTCGTGGTTACAAGCCTGGAAAAGCCATAATTGTTGATGAAACATGCAGCGGACATCTGATCACTGCCACAGACGACAATCATCGCAAACTCGTCGGCGATTTGATTCAAAATGACCGGCGAATCACTCAAAAGCGTATCGCAAACCATATTGGAATATCAAAGGAACGTGTCGGCTTCGTTATTGAAGAGTTAGGATACCGTAAAATCTCTGCACGATGGGTACCACGACGTCTCGCAGATGAGGACAAACAGCGTCGATTGGAATGCTGCGAGCAACTTTTGCAGCGCTACCGTGACGAAACAGACTTCTTTCTTTCGAATATTGTGACGGGGGACGAGTCATGGGTCCATCGTTACGACCCGGAAGAGAGAAGACAGAGCGCTGAATATCGACATCCGTCTTCTCCTCAGGCGAAAAAGTTCAAAACACAACCATCCGCCAAAAAACTTCCTTTGATTGTGTTTTGGGATGCTCACCGAGTTTATGTGACCGACTTCCTGGAACGAGGGGCAACGGTAAATTCTTCTCAGTACATACAGACTCCAAAACACCTCCGGGGTCGAGTTTGTCGTGTTAGAGGCAGCCTGGCGCCAATAATCTTGCAACATAACAACGCTCGTCCACACACCTCACGTGCAACTGAAGAGGCTCTGCGAAACCTGAAGTTTGAACCGATTCCACACCCTCCTTATTATTCCCCCGAACTTGCGCCTTGCGATTTTTATTTTTTTCCTCTACTCAAGAGAGACCTCAAGGGTAATCATTACACCTCGGACGATGAGGTGAAGGCAGCTGTCAAGTCCTAGATTCGAGAAAATTCGGAAGAATTTTTCAGTGACGGAATGAAAAAACTTGTTACGCGTTGGGAAAAATGTGTTAGCCTTAACGGTGACTATGTTGAAAAATAAATATATGCTTTTGAAACTTAAGAATTGTACTTTAATGTACTTTTTGCCCGATCTTGCTATTTGTTTTTGTTTGCGCTCTACGAGCATGTGTGCATCACTTTTCAGCCTACCCACATACATATAGAAGCGTGGAATGTAACAGGATGCTTAAATATAATATATCACATTTTTGTATTAGACATTGTCAAGAGACATACTCAGAGGTGAGGTTTCTGGTTTAGGTCATGTGAAGTATATGGAAGAACATGTTAAGTTGTCCTTTTCTGACAAAATGTAAATAAATAATATTATAATTTTTTGGCACAATGACAAATGTTCACGTCAGTGGAATAGTTGATTTTTAAATTTTTAAATTCCCTGACATACATACACACAAACACTCACCTGATCACCTTACTGACTTTGGCCGTGCTTGAGGAGCTCTTCAGTGAATGACAGCTTGGGAACATTAATTTCTGGCTGTTTTTTGAAACACTTGGTAGATTTATAAGTGCTGTATTCAATCACACACCCCTGCCCACTCTTATGTTGACCTGGATCAGGCATCAGCCACCATCCTTTCTTCTGTGAGACTGCTGGAACAAATTCAATATAGAAATGTACATTCACATATACACTCTCTTCTCACTTCAACCTTGAAGATGGAGACATCATGTGTCTCCAAAACAGCAACAGTATTGCCCGCATCCACATACCTATTTCCCTATGATCCATCTTAATATTATTTCCCTGTTTCCTTTTTGTCTTTCAAGTAGCAACTTTATGAGATTTCCCCATCAAATTCTGTGAATATTTATTGTCTTCTCCTACCTAGCCACATTCCCAGTCCATCAATCTCATATATTTTGTTGTTCTAGCATTAGTTGTTTATCTGTCTCTTGTAGTTCTTTGTTATGTGTTATCCTAAATTCTGCACTTAATTTGGCCTTCTAAGGTCCAGATAGTTTTTTATATTCCAGGCAGAGTTCGCTTCACCACAGGATCTAGATCAGCTCTGGGCCTTAACCACCACCTATGAAATTTGTCTCAATGTGCTTTCCCCTGGATTAAAGTGACCAGAGTATGGAGCTAACCAATCAAATTTATCTAGTGCCTATGTTAAGAATGTGTGGAGCTTTGCCTCATCTCCCCCATAAGTTTTTCATGACATGGTGCTTAAGCACAAGGACAAGTTTACCTTTACCTTAGCTAAGATTATTTTAACATTATCCTCTTATCTTTCTAGTGATCAGTTTCCACTGGATTTTCTCCTGCAGTCCTTCATTTTCATCAATTTCAGCTACATGTTCAACTCTTTAATGAGATAACCAAGATGTAGAAGGCATAGAGATTTTGTTTTCAGACACTTGCAATTTATGTTCCTTCCTCAGGATAATTGTCCTTATTCCACAGTAAATATGGATTGCAAACTTGAAAGTTGGCAGATATCAAAACTTAATCTGTACTATTTTGTTGCAGGGCATTGATAACCTACCAGAGGAAGTGACAGACCTCTTGAGTCTGGCAACAAATGCTCCAGTTATTGCCCGTGCTGTCATCTCATATGGACTGTTTGCTGTAGGGGCAATATTGTTAGTCATTGCAGTGACCTGCCTCATTCGTAGTAGTGGACGCCAAGAGACTCTAAACCTTGAGGGAACCAGCCATTATGTGAAACCAGAAAAAAAGCCGTCAGCCACATCAGGACATTCTGGTGCCACCAACGGTCACAGCAACGGGAAAGGCAAGACACTGGAGACTTTAAACCCAGCATTTGTTGGAGGCCCAGAGAATGGCACTACAACTCAATGAATGTTGTGGAAAGAGTCAATGAACTGACCAGTGAAGTATACAGTATATCTTTCAACCAGTTATGTGGAAGCCATCAGCCATGTTGAGAGGTATAACGTTTTTTGATCTTCAGGAACTGCGCTGGAATTTTCTAGGTATTTCTTATAGATCTGAAAATTGTAATAACCTGACCATCTGTTGTAGATATCAGAAGAATGGATCCTTGTTGGAACAAATATACATTTCCTAACAGAAGCAACAATTTTAAGAATAAATTTTATTTTTACTCCAAATTAACTTGTCTGAACTGTACAACTCATGTGCCACGCAAATGGTTCAGCTCTCTGTTTTATTGAACATTATGAATGAATATTTTCTTGTGATGCAGTAGAAGCTTTGTGAATGATAAAATGAATGTCATACTCAACTTATAAGCCACCAAGACAATTCCTGGCATCTTAGTTCTGTTTGTGAATTCTTGTTTCCCTTGTAACAACTCACTTACTGGTGCTGACAGAATTTGTATTACAGGAATATCAGCTTTGTCTGATTTCAAATATAACAGACTGGAATGCTCACTTTTATCATGAGGACCAGTAGTTAAGTTACATTTTATTTTGCTGTAACATTGTAGTGAGGACAGTTTTAATTTTACTTCATATTAGTTGGTATAATATCCTGTTTGAGTAGCATTCCAAATTATCTTCTCACTTTAGTAATCTTCACTACAAACCAACACAATTATGTATTTACCCTGTGTGTACTGTTATTTTAGATACAGAGAAATTTTTCTGTTATGCTAGCTCCATCTTACCTACTTTCTCTGCTTGAGGTCAGTGATACTAGACTTTGGGCGCTATTCCATCTGTATAGCTGATCACAGTGGCCATGCTCTCTAAGGCATGAAAGGTCTTCGCCTGTTTGAACACTAGGATCGTGGGTTCAAATACTACTCAAGGCATGGATGTTTGTTTGCTATTATTATATGTTTATGTGTAGGTAGCGGCCTTGAGACTGGCTGATCCCCCGTCCAAGGAGTCCTATAGACTGTCTACGATTAAGAAACTTAAGTGAAACAGGCATTTCATGGATGCCCTATGCTCAAAGTTGGAGCAACAGGAATATAGGTAGATAGATAGCATATATACAGAATATTATTTTTAATGATAAAATGTAGAAAAGTAAATTGTCACTATTTGCAAATGCTACTGCTCTGGACAATAATTGTTAAGGCTATTTGGACACAAAATAATCTTAAATTCTTTATGGGGTGAAGTTTGTATAAATTAGTATATATATTTGAAAACCTGTGTCTGATATCCAAGAAAACGCTCTGCATATCGGTCTCTAAGGCCTGTATATCAGAGATGGGCAAAGAAGAAGATGAAATATAATTAATCTGGGTAACAAACATAATCAAAAATGTACTCACTGAGAAAAATACTGAGTTGAAAGTTCATTAATATAAGTGATAAATGTATTTAGCACTGCCTTTTGAAGGGTTGAATGTTTTTATATTTTATGATCGAGTTCTACTTCACAAACATAGTGGTTCTTAAACAGTGTCAGAAGCATTCTGTGAAGAAGTAACCATCTTAAATTTGCATGATATAATTTTAAGGATAACTGTTGCTGAGACAGATGACAGGTGGTTCTATTATAATATCAGTCACCCCATAATTTGTACTAGAAATTACTTCACACCAGATGATCGTTGTCAATACTTATTTCATATACTATACTGAAATAGCAGAATGTAGTCCCATGGATTGTACAGGTAATTGAACTCCACACTTCCCGCTCTCTGCCTACTCTTTCTTTCCTCTTCAGCCACCCCTGGCCTGTATTAACCAGACCGAAGAACTTACTTGTAGTGATGTTTATCATGTCTGTCAATAGTAAAATGACTAGAAGAGTGGAGAGGAATATAGGAAGTTATGCTGGCTGGGGAACTTAATAACTTCATGGAGACTTCTGAAGGATTGATCACGGGACTTCTATTGGTGACCTCAGTGTAAGAAAATTGTTTTAGACATTACTTGTATCTCCAATCTGTCACAATATTGAATATTAATACATCACAAGGAGTTGTCTGAAAATTGTGGTCCGAAGAACAGTTAGTAATTTATAAAGTCACGAAAAGGGCTGTATGATAAAAATTCAGCTATAAAGTTCTTGTACACTGTAGATGATATGTTTACAGTCATGATTATAATAAATATTCGATCACATTATGTGATAAGCTACCAATTTGAAATGGGTATAGCGCTAAACCTATTAACTTTCAGAATAATATTTATCAGTTCACTTGTATTGAAGAGAAGTTGGCATGTGAAATTTGATTTTTATAATACACAGCATTTATATCAGACATACAGGACAATGAGTCATGCTTCAAATCTTCATCAAGGTTATAATGCCCTTTAATTTACATTCATTAAGAATTTAGCAAGTCTGTTGTATAAGATTTTAAATAAAACTGGACAAGAATGGACTACACTTTTTATAAACTGAAGAACCTTTAATAGCTGAGTTTTCATGCTGTCTTTGTGTGTAAAATGTCATTTTACAAAAATACTGGATACATATATATTATGTCCTTATATTGGGAAAATTTTTTATTGAGGGCAGGGTCGTCCCTTTCTAGGTACAAGACATCTAGGCACAGACACATGCAGTAGGGGTCAGAGTGCTTGTGTCCATGCATTAACATATGGATATGTTAATAATCCTCAAAAGGCTAAGGAATGGTTAATATTGCTACAATAACAAGTAATGGATGATATGTACCACTTACTTTGCTTAATGTGTATTCAATTAGTTGGTATGTAAAATAAGAAAGAACTTCTAAATTTGTATTTAGAAAATTGTATCTTCTGGTTACTGCACTAGATTTCTGTGATAGGTCGGTTGTGTGCATTTAAGACAAACGTACCTTACCTGATAATTGAGGTCATTGCTGACAGTGAGTGTTGTGTCACAGAAAGCATGGAATGAAGAGAGGTTGGACTTGCCTAATGTAAAATACATGTTAAAATCTTTAATATATTTAGAACAGAGTTACAGGGAGAGAAGATTATACAGAAAGACATTAAGCATTGTGAATGTTCATATATAAAAGGAAACCAATAGGAAAGTGAGAATTAAACAAATTGTGCAGTAACATCCCAAGTGTTCATAAGACTGAGCATGAGCATTGTCTTAATGTCATCATGTACAAGATTGGCCTGATGATATGAACCATGTCATTAGTTTAAATGCTTCTAAATTTGGCAGACATTACAGTTGTCTTCAGGGGGAATGCCATGGATAGGAAAACATCAATATTTAGATCTCAGAATGGGGCATAGAGGAAGGAAAGAATGAATTGGTTGGTTGACTTCCTTTCTGGGACATAAAGCAATGGACAGGAATTCATATCAACATGTATATGAACTAGGGTTATCTAGTAAGCATTGAAAATTGGAATAATCTATTAGGCTTACAGTCTCACAGGTACATAAACATTTAATTCTGTGCCTTACTTTACGTAAATGGATTTAAAGTTGTATCAGAACTACTTTGCTCCTGAATATAATATTTTATCATTCTGTGTTTGGTTGTTGCTGTCCATAAATTCTGTGTGATCAAGTCACCAATTTGTTATGGACAATGTTTCAGTATTTTGAAATATTTTAATTCTGACTATGTTTAACTTTAAGACATTTTCAAGAAGTCAAACAGGAACAACTTGTTTTCATAGGTAGGTGACTGCTGCCTCCTATGCAGCCAATCTTGCATACCATCATCACTTCAGTGAAACATTTTGTACTTATTCTTATTATGGAAATGTTGAATTATGAATATCTGTGTAGTACACTGAAACAACTCTCTTGTTGTTAATCTTCTTTTCTCTTGTTACAATGTACATATGATTAGAATAGTATACATATTATAAGTTGATGTGTGTATGAGAGATTGTGATAAAAGTGTGTCTTGTAAGACAGAGTGGTACTGGTCGTGTGTGGCAAGTTATAAAGTTGTTATGTCATAGATTAGAGGAGATAGAAACCCAAGTTTTACTTGTATGTGATCATAAATGTATTTTACTGGAATACCAACCAAACAAATGAGCAAAGGTCTGCATATTTGATAGAGAAAATATAACAATGTTAGAGTAATGGGAAATATATTTTTACCATTTTGCAGCAGCATATTATTGCATTGTATCACAAGAGATTTATTCTTCAAGGACTTGTCTCTCTGTACAGATATCTTAATTTTAGGATGTTTGCACTTGCACTGAGTGGCCACTGGTGTTCACTCAATCAAGGCAACAAGACTAGCAATTGTTGGGTCGATATAATACAGAAGATCAGGTGCTATCTGTGAAATATATCTTTTATATATGAGAGGAAGTTATTCTTACGAAAGTCCTAATGCTCTTTTTCATATTGTGTGCTGAATAGTCTAGCAACACTATGCAAATTACCACAAGGCTTAGAATATCTTAAAAAGGCTAAAAGATTATAGACTTATGACCTGCTATTTGGCATTTCACCATGTCATGGAAAACAACCATTCTGATTTACTGCACCCTAGGAAAATGTGTATTGGAGGGCAATAACACATTAATTTGTGACTTTTAAGCATATTTAACTGTTTAAATGTCCCAATACATGTTGATACAAGTTGCAATACATGTATAAAAATTCTGTTTGCATTAGTTATGAGGATATTTCAAGAAAGATGTTCAGTGTCAGATGGTTGCAATGAAGGCATCATTATCTTGTCTTGGATATGATACAATGGCACTATAAGCTGACAGTAAACATGAAAGAGCAATATATGTGTATTTCACTCTAGCAGGCGCAAGCCTTATTGAAATGTATCATAATGAATTGTGTTGCCATGTGTATCAACATATGTGGGGCTCTACAATGTTGCTTGGATTTCCAGTATGATAAAATTTTGTGAAGTGTGACTGTAGGTACTATGTGTACGGGAAAGATAACCGTCCAATGAAGTTGCATTTTTGGCTGATGTTATTATACAGCAAATGAAGTGCAATTACTGTGAATTTTGCTCAGAAATAAGTTCATGTTGTTTCTATGTCTTCCGTTTGTATTACAGATTGATCACATGTTGACTGTGTAGTTGTTTACATTGTTACCTTTTATGGATATCACATTGAAAATTTTTGTATTCTTAGAGCAAGAATAATGTGCAATGCTAGTGTCCACTTTAAAGCAATGGTGTTTTGAGACCTAGATTATTTTGTGGGACTGAAATTCGACCTTATGAATTTGTGGTTCCTTCATTGCCTTTTAATTCCAATGCATCAACAACTATTGATTTGTCCAATTCAATTTTCTAGATTCAATAAATTGGAAAATAATTTCCCCATGAAAGAAATATTTGTTAATGAAATAATCAAGTTCACCAGCAACTACTCTCCGTCAGGACTATATTTAGTAACGTTTCTAATTGAAAATGTAACACTCAACTATTTTCTTTTAAAAAATTAATAAAATATTTTAATATTCTGTCTGTTAGGTCTTCCACATGCAAACTATTAAGAAATTCCAGCAGATGACAATAGGATGTGGAATAAGTAATAGCATATAGAAAGATATATAAAATATGTAAAGACACAACGCACAATGATTGCAAGAATATTATAGGGTTATAAAATATATGAATTGACACCCTTACTGTAGATTACAAATTATTTCTGTGTATTAAACACTTATAGATATGTATAAAAGAATATATTATTAAGTACCACTTTAATTCGAATTTAAGTTGTGCCTTTTCATTCATAATGCTGATAACACTATAAGGTAAACAGCTGGAACATCAGTTACCATTGAAAAATTCAGTTTTCTGGTAACTGGCTTAGTAAAATTACTCAAACTTCTTGTATAAAACAGTGTATTGATGACTTTGAATGAAGAAATTCCCGTT